GTCTTCATTTGGGATTTACACAAAAAATAGGCAAGTATGTTATCAATCAATAGAATATGCTTCATTAGAATGATATTTTGTAGTAAATACAGCGTCACGATGTATGAATAATTGAAAAGATTAAGGTGATAAAGGACTGTTAGTTTAATTTTCCCACAATCATTTGAGTAGAGCTGACATTTTCAGTGAATTTCATAGAGCCCTGCTTTCCCAAAACGTGTTCTCATCCAGGCTGAAGTGAAATGCAGTTACGAACTCGCTTAGTTCTTATCAGCACTCCAGGCGAAAGTCGGACCATGACAGTGCAGTGTGTAATCTCTACACGTTAACCACTACGCCACATTTTCATGAGTGCCCCTGGGTCACAGCGCAGATGAGAATTTTAAGGAAGGTCAGACATTTTATGTATCGCATTCTGTTGGGATTGTCGATAAAGCAAACCTATATTTGCCATAGCAATTGGAGACATTACTTTTTTTCGTTGTTGAGTAGGCGACACGCTACGCTATCACAATTCGAGTCCCTCTGGGGGTGTTTGATAAGACCTATAATAGGCTGAAACTGCAGTCCATCCTGGATGAGAACAACTTTTGGGAAGGCAAGGCCACGTGAAAGTTAATGGAAACGTAAGCTCTACTTATATCATTGCTGGAAAAATCAACTTCCAGTCTATCATCACCTTAAATGAAATAGGGTGAACATAACTGATAGCGTCAAAAGCCTACTCAATAACGAAAATATTTATTAACATCCTGAGGCCTACTCATCTGACTGCAAAAATCTAAACTTTTGCTCCTTAAATCACCTCAAACGACTAAGGCTAAGTCATTATTCAAAACTTAAGGATAGTCTTGAAACTAATAACAACGAAGTTGTAACAATCTGGGCTGATAAATTTTCACCACGCCCCGTGAAAGCGAAGAGGGCAGTTGCAGAAATAGTACTCCTTGTAATCTATATTCAGGCATAAACAAGACTGTAGCAACACTTTTTTTGAGCTTTGCTTTCAGTTTCGATCTAAGTCTTGCTTTTGTCCGTTACATCGCCAACTCCGGTAGGATGGGTATTACAACTAGTCCTAATAGTAGGCTTTTTTATCCTGTGTCTGTTCTCGCTTTGCACTTTCCTAGCCTGTCGAATGAGGCATATTGGATGCCCCGATTGCTTCGTCGTCTTGGTTACCTGCTTACAAACAGTGCAATGATGAAAAAAGCACTCGGAATGATCATCAAGGGGATTGATTTAGGGCAAGCACGCAAAATGGTTTATATCCTTGCTGCATCAGATTGTTAGAAAAGCAATAAAAGATCTATCCAAAATATTAACATTTTGTGCTTATTTAAAAAAGATCTCACTTTAGCATCGGCTTCATGAAGACTCTTCAGAATCTCATCCTTTTGCTCTCCTGTTCTCATTAGACAAAGAGAAATCTCCTTCTCTATGTCGCCAATCTATATCAGACGCAGAAAAGAAAAGATTGGGTTTAGAATTTGGGTGCAGACATAAGCGTAATAGTGAGCTAAATATCATCACTATTGCCCCCCTCACCCCTTGCGACGTTTATTATGCCCTGAGGCGTCATTTCGACGAAATAATCCTTCGGTTCACAAATACTAATTAATTCGAAGAATTGTTTTCGTTCTGTGCTTATTTCGTGTGGATAAAGACCCCTCGACTCAACCAACGATTGCCGAGTTTTCTTGAGTTATCATAATAATGAAAACTGGCTGTTGTGGGCGCGGCAGGATCCGATTGATTCTCTTCTGATGACGAATCCGTGTTTGCTGGTTAGCCATAGTAGTAAAAACCTTCTCAGATTTAATGACATTTTGAAGACCTATTTCAACCTAGCAATGAGTCGAAAAAATTAGGCTGCTCAGGAATAGATTGAGGACAGATCCTATTGGTTCTCAGGTAGTGCTCGCCATGATTTCTTACCAGATTAGAAATGAAAAGGAGGTCGAGGGAAGTTCGGTGCCGATTTAGACGAAAACTGAATAGCACAAAACGACTTGGGGAGGCATGTCGAGAAGTAAAGATGCAAGCAAAGCAGCCTATACGGCTTTGAAGCAGTTCCGTCATCAAAGGTACCATTCATTCTGGGTCACCTGCAAGGATAGAAGTTAAGATGGCCACCGCACTAGAACATTGCTTGACGCTGTGCCTTCGAAGATCAACTACCGGCAGATGAGCCACAACTTGGCCCCTATGAGAAATAATTTGAGAGGGGAGGGAAGATGTTTACCATTGGGTTAGATCAGATAAACACAATGTGATTTTAGCCATTCACATAAGAGATGAAGCCCTAGGCAGTGACATAAGCAGGGGCATCTCACAGCCCTCAGCAGTTGAAACACTGCTTCTTCTCTTCTTCAGCTAATACTATTCCAGAATCGTTATCCTAATTCATCAAAGTGGTACTTGTGCTCTCAACTCAAGCATGAAGCCCTCAAAGCTTCCTCCATAGGCAATAAGTTTGAGGACCTGGATTTTTGACGAATTTTTACGACTAGGTGACGCTTTCAGACCTTAAAAAGCCAACCTGACGACTTGAAGGATGCATCTAGGATAATTGAACTGGCGACAAATGTGGAGAGTAGTCGACTTCAGCACTTTCTGATGTTGTAGACATTTCAGGAGAATGTAAATCCAGCTGCTGTGTCAACACTAAGATTGCCAGCCAGCATAAATAACCGGCTATTCCCCAAGCCATCCGTCGGATCCACATCTGTATGAGGGCAATCTCGTCCGGTCAACCGCGGAGGGCACTAAAGGTAGCCCGAGCAAAAATTCTCAAGAAGCCCAACTGAAAATAATTCATGAATGCGATATGAAAAGGGTGGCCTCACTGCATCAGCCGCCAACAAGATATATACCTAAGCAACGCTCATGCTGTTGACCCCAAAAGATGGAGTCGGCATTTTTGTCGAGGCTGCCATTGACAAAAGTTTAGGGCAATGAGCATATCTCCGTCGCAGAAACACAGGCTGAAGCGTTGTCGTGAACTCCGGCGAAGATTTGGAGAATGAGGCTGCTCTGAATTGTGGAAATACTTCAACTCATGAGAAGCATCGTATCCAAACGGTTGCAAGATAAGATTGGCCGTTTTTTCGGTTCGGCCCCATCGTGTACATCGCACAGAGCGCTTAACTCGCCGGGCAACACCGGATATGCCAGGCTGAATTGACCTTCGAAGAATCCCTTAATATGTTGATGTGATTAGACTTTTTGTTGCTATGACACAGTCGATTGGAAGGATTCATGAATTGGCCACATCGGAAACTTCTTAGCTCAATCCAACAGCTTTCACTTTAAGATGAGGTCATTTCACGAATTACTTCTTTCAAAATTAAAAGTAAAATATGTTTTCATACATCATAACATTTTTTGCGAATTCGCTTGCAAACAGAGGATTCCAACTATTAAATATGGGACTAATAATTATTCTCTTGAATAACTCCAAGGAATTGGACATAACTGGCCCATAGCAATGTTCAAACAAGCGAGTCAAAATGTTTAGGCTCTGAAATGAGTGCCTATGGTAAAAGTTGTGGCTAATTTAACAAAAATACCTATTGAGTTGACTGATAGAAACAGCTTTTCCGCCTATAAATTTAGCATATTTATGTGTACAATAGTAAAAATAGGCTTTAATTGATATTGCTTTGCACAAATGTCCCTCAGGTTCCGCAAAAGAGTCCCTTCTGAAAGGGGTTTTTGATGCATTTAAATGGGGAAATGCAGAATAAATACAGACTACCGGGTTTCTCACCTGTCCCAACGCCTTTTCGATGTTGTAATAGTCGCGATCGGAGTCGCCCATCATGCCGAGCATACGCGCCAGCGCCCGAACGATCGCGCCGCTCTCCGAGAGTTGTTCAATCTCACCATTCGACTTGGTCACCTCCAGCGTGGGCACTTGACCCGTCTTCATAAGAGGCTTCATTTTGGTCCAGTCGCCTAGGTCCATCCGCACTTGCTCAAGCTTGAGGCCGCCGGTGGCGAAGACAAGACGAATCAGCTCGCCCCGGCCGCGTAGGTTGAAGTAGATCAGCTAATCGTTTCGGGGCAAGGCACGAGATTGTGGAAAAGTGTTTACAAGAGGCTCTGCAATTGAAGGCTCAAGACTCGAGTCCCATCTTGGTTTTTACCTCGTTTTCCCCGGTTAATCGTGTTTGGCTCCCCTTCCAACATCATACCCGCGACTCGCAAGTATCGCAGTCTGCTTCATCAGTGAACAGCACAATTCTTAGCCGCCAGTTACGAGTTATAGTTCGGTGCTGCGAATGGCGCTGCTCGTCTGGGCGGTTGATTAGTCAACGAAGGTCCATTGCTGGTCAAGAGCATCATGACAATGGCAGAGAGGCAGTACGAGTACCCGTCTCAAAGTCTGCCTCAAAACACGACCAAATTGCGAGAACAAGGCAAAGCCAGAGGCCACATCTTCGTAGTAGTCATGTCTACCAATCTTGCCGAGCTACAGGAGCATCCCCTCGTCCAATTAGTATTCTTAAGATGCGATTTCATGTACGACCTAGTGAGCTATTTGGCCTTGCTTCGGCTCTAC